AGTGCAGAAACTGGCTAAAACCTGACACAAATAATTACTTACTGTGCAATTACCTCGGCACCAGAGCATCAGGCCAAGCCCAGCTCCTGTTAGAATTCAGCATCACTGTGCAGTGAAGTACTTGTCTGTCTGTCAGTCTGTCTGTCTGTCTGCATCCTCACTCTGTCCTCAGGCCACCCAGAGGAATGCCATGGCTGTGGTTTTATGTCCCATCAAATCAAGTTAAGACCAGCCAGTAAGTTCAAAAATTAGAGGGAATGGTACTGAGAAAGACAGAGCGAGCTGCAAAGCACACAGCTTGGGATCTATAAGCCATGAGTCCTTTAGAGTGCAAAATGGGCTGTGCTCCAGAAGGGCTGGGGGGGCTCAGGCACCTTGGGGTGAGATGGGATGGTGTCATTCGGTCACTTAGAGAGTCACTGACAAAGGTGTCAGCAAAAGCAGGTTTGAATGTAAGTTTTTCAAACTGCAGCTTAACAGAGTTTGATCCACTCTGTCACTTCCTATGAGGATGAAGCATACAGAGGAAAATTGACCAAAATAATCTTAAACGGATTTGCTTGGAGACCAGGGACACAAAAGGATAAGAGTGCAAAGGGTGAGGAAGAGCCTCCCATTGAGTCATGAGATTCAGAGTGGACCCCCTGGCCAAACTTAGCCTGAGATTTGATCAACTGCTTTGATAAAATATAATATATTATACATATTATAAATATAATAAATAATTAATAAATATTTATTTATATGTATATTAAATAAATAAATATTTAATATAATAAATAAGATTTGTTATAAATATCGTAAATAATAATTTATTATTCATTATAATAAATAAATATAAATATAAACAAATAATAAATATTATAAATAAGTTTTATAATTTACAAAATCATTTACTATATAAAATCTATTAAATTATTTATAAAATAATATAAAATATATTATACATATTATAAATATAATAAATGCTTAATAAATATTTATTTATATGTATATTTAATAAATAAATAATTATTTAATATAATAAATAATATGTATTATAAATGTCATAAATAATTATTTATTATTTAATATAATAAATGATAAATACAATAAACAAATACTATTTTATAAATTATAAATAAATTTTATAATTTATAGAATAAATTCTAAATAAATTTTATTATTTATAAAATAGATTATAAATATTATAAATACAAATATATTTGTATAACATGTTTAGCAAATGGGATGGGATGGGATGGGATGGGATGCGATGCAATGGGATGGGATGCGATGCAATGGGATGGGATGGGATGGGATGCGATGCAATGGGATGCGATGCAATGGGATGGGATGCGATGCGATGCGATGGGATGGGATGGGATGGGGTGCGATGGGATGGGATGGGATGGGATGGGATGGGGTGCGATGGGATGGGATGGGGTGCGATGGGATGGGATGGGATGGGATGGGATGGGATGGGGTGCGATGTGCGATGGGATGGGATGGGGTGCGATGGGATGCAGTGACCAAGTGTGGTGGGCACGGAGCCCTAAAGGGAGCAGGGCTCTGAGCCGCTCCGCTGCGAGTGGCAGAGCCCTCGGCTGAGGGATGCGGAGCGGGTCCCTCTTCTCTCCCTGCGCCCGGGCAGCCCCGGCACAAGCTCCCTGTGCCCCTCTCCGCTCGGGCAGCGCCTCCCGCAGCCCCGGCTCCATCCCCGGCCGCAGCGCTCCCCCCGCCGGCCGCTCCGCGCCGCTGCCGCTGCCGCTGCCGGGGATGGCACCGGCCGGGGAGGAAGGAGAGAGAGGAGGCGCCCCTCACAGCTTCAGGGGTCAACAAAAGCGTGTGTGCTTCCCTCCCCTCTGCCATCCCTCCCGGCCGGCCGCAGGAGATGCGTCCCTCGAAGGGTTTCCCTCGGCATTGTCTCCTCGCTGGAGGCTGGGCAAGATTTGACTGAGTTCATGTATCTTTCAAATATAAGGGATTTTAAGACCAGAGGATGCTGCACAGGGGATAAGGGCAGTTTGGGAGCTACTCCTCAGGCCGGAGCAGGGCAGATGGATGGAGGAAATCGTGACACTGGGGGACACCCTCTGTGCCAGACCCATTATAAGATTCTCCCTAATTCTGGGGGTGCTTGAACTGCTGTGGCAGAGACCTGTGTGTGACATTCCCACTGGGAATGGTGACTCCATCGACCCCACCACCCTGGGTGCCTGAACACGGGGCAAAGCCCTCAGTTACATGGTTAATCTTCCTTTGCAGGGCTGATTTTAGCTGGTGAGGCTCAAACCTGTGTGAAATAGCAGTCTTCACACATGGAGCCTGAGGGAATCGTGTGAAGCTGTGTCAGGAGAGGCTTACGTCTGATATTAGCAGATATCCAGAGGGTGTTTGGCACTGGAAGAGGCTCCCAAGGGAAGTGGCCACAGTGCCTGCCTGATTTTTAGAATCATTTGGACAACACTCAGGCGCATGTTGTAATTCTGGGGGTTGTCCTGTCGCAGGAGTTGGACTCAGAGAACCTTGTGGGTCCCTTCCAGCTCAGAATTTTGATTCCATGATTCTGTGCTATAGGATGAGTTTAATTCCACAGGTTTCCAGTGTCACTGTTAGCTAGAGCAGAAGCAGCTCCAGGTGCAGCTGCACCTCACAAACAGTGGGGCTCTGAGTCCAGGCTGTTTCCAGGTGTGTGACTGGAGTAGTCCTGGTGTCCCCTTTTCCATCACCTGCATTTTGTACATTTCAGCCACAAACCTTAATGCAGTATTTATGCCACAGTTTGTTTCTCTTACAAAAGTAAGAGTCAGGAAAACAGAGAGCACAAATCTGTACAGAAATCTTTGTCTGCCCCATCTTTCCTCTCTTGAATGCGGGAATGGCTCAGTGGGTAACTGCACCAAGAGGAGCCATCTCTGCAGATGCACTGTAGCACTTGGGTCAGGCTGGTGCTGGTTTTGGATCCAGATCTGTCTGTTAATTATTTTATTTAGTTTGTTGTGGTTTTTTTTCTTTTTCAGGTTTGCAAACTGTGGCCTCAGTCAGCACAAACCACAGGGAGAATTTCCACTCGGAAAGTACAGGGGAGTTTCTTTACTGCTGTGCAGCACGGGAAGGCTCCATTTCAGCTCCAACAGGGAAAGGGCTGTTCTGTTCCACCCTTGCTGACTGTCTGGGACTGAGAGCTCAAAGAGGCCAGCTTATTCCTCAAGTCCTGACATAACCCCTTGTATGGCATTTGCCCCAAGGCAGTGAAATTCCAACCACTTGATACTTCAGGCTGTGAACTTGGAAGGGTTAAGAGAGCCCCAGCTCAAACCTTCTGAGCTCATTCTGATGCTCAGTTAAAGCCAGGCCAGCTGCACTTTGTTGTAGCTCTGAGTTGGCTCCTTTGGGCTCTGCCAGGCTGCTGGGACAGCAGTGTTGTCCCATGGGGTGGGACATGGCCTTGGAGAGGGATCTCTGCACCTTCAGAGCTGTGATAGCCAGCTCTCCTGGGGCAGCCTGCTGGCTTTCCTGAGCTTGCTGGGGAAGGCAGGGGAGAGCAGGGCTGCAAAGCCTTCCCCTGCACAGGACCCAAGCTCCTGTGCTGTTTGGTGGCCCTGGCAGGAGGGCTGGGATGGAAGCAGTGGAGGAGCTGCCTCTCACAGGGGAGCAGGGCGAGGGTTTCTGGCTGAGAGGGAGCGACAGGACAGCAGTTTGCACTCATCTCCTGCAGCCCCTGCCTGTCTTCCTGTCCTCTCTCCTGCCCAAACCTTCTCCCAACGGCTCTCCAGGCCTGCAGGTGGGTCACATCCAGCTGGCTCTTGCAGGGGACATGGGCAGTGGTGTCCCTCTCTGTGTCAGGTCTGCCAGTTTGTAGAGCTGCTCCCACCGTGGGGAGGCATTCACTGTGTCTCCCCTGAGAGCCCCCTTTGGCTAACAGCCCCGGGAGGCAGTGTGGCCAGGGGATGGGTGCTGTGTTCACCTGGCCCCTCTGGGCTGAGCTTTCCCCCCATGGGGGTCACACACCTTGGCCATGCAGAGTGTGTGTGTCCCGTGGGATCTGCCCTGGCAGGAGTGACCCTGTGCAGGATCCTGACAGCACATTCCACAGGGGCTGTCAGCAGGGACCTCACAGCTGAGCCAGAGCTCTTCAAACGTGGCTATTTTTAGCCCATGCAAATGGGGGTGTTTATTTTCCTACTCTCGTGCCTTTTTGCCTTTCCCAGGGATTTTATTGCTGATGAAAACAAGGGCCTGAGAGCCATGTGAGTGTCTGTGCTGGCTGCTGCAGTGACCCCATCTCTTTTCCCATCCAATATTCCCCAAGCCCTTTACAGTGATGGGCTGGAATGGGCAGAAGCACCTGATCTTACCTTGGACCAGAACCTTTTTTGGGGCTGGGAGATCTGTGCTAACAACTTGAACCCATGCATGCGGTTGGTGATGAGGGGGCAGTCCCTCTCACCAGGATGGGATGAAACAGAGGAACATTGCAGGCTGGTTTGTTGTCAGTGTTTCAAATCAGTATTTTTTATTACAGAAACTCATCAGGTTGCTCACACTGTGGCAGGAATTTAATAATATAAGGCACAGGGAACATTCAGAGGTAAAAAAAAGAGTTCTCAGCCTGTGAGATTTAACCATCACTTTGCTCCTGTCAGGACCCTCTCTTATAAAGCAAAATCCAAATACCTTCTCCCTTCCATCCTTTGCATCCCTTAAATCCACAACAGGAAAAAAAACATTACAGCATTTCCCTCAAGCACGTGGCACACAGGCCACTTTCTGGGCAGAAATATCCCTTCCAAGTGTGACACAGCTTCCCTGGAAGAGCAGGGCTGGAATTGAGGCACAGCCAGGGCAGAGGGGTGGGAAGTGCTTCAGGGCACTGTGATTTGGGGAGAGCCAAGAGCTTTGTCTCACCTGCAGCTGAACCACAGCACCAAGGTGAGCCACACATACACCCTGGGGAACAAGCAGCCACACAGAAAACACAACAGCAGCGTGGTCATTGAGTGATGGTGAAGCATGGAGCACTTTCAAACCTTTATTACTCAAGAGGATTTTACAGGATGGGAATAATTTCATCTTATTTGTTTTAAATTCTGTGCGCTTCCCTATTTGCTTGTTCAGTTTATATTTTTTTTTCTGTGCCCAATAACTGCTAAACCCTGGGAATGGGAGGGGAAAAAAAAAAGGAAAACAAAATCCTACCACTCTCTGTCTTTCTCACCCCTCTCCATCCTTCCTACCACGAGCTGGGTGGCCACAATGCCACCTGCAGCTGCTCTGCTTGAGAACCCAATCCTCCTACATCCTCTGTCTCTGCCTTCCCTCGCTGGCATCTGCGCCTGGGGTGGTGAATCAGCTGAGAGGGTTTTGTGTCTGAGTGCCCAGGAACGTGCTGCTAGCGAGAAGTTCAGAGAAGTCTGAGAGCGGATGGTGAGGCAGAGCAGATATTTAGCACAGGAACAATCAGCAGTGAAGACGCAGGAGAGAGAAAAGGCTGGTGAGAGCGTGTGGAAACAGCTGGGTGAGTAATCTAGTGGTGATAGATAAGGCTATGAATGAGGACTGTTATTTCTCTTAGCACCGTTACTACATATGTTTAGACCTATATTAGCACCTTGTTCCCAGGGAAAAACAAAACAAAACAAAACAAAAGCAGTTTAAAAACCAAAGGAAGTGGGAAGGTTAAAACATGACAAAGTTGGCAGCAGAGCAGGAAGGTGAGCGTTTAGATCACGAGATCCTTGTCTATGTCCTCTGTGGAAGGAAAAGAGAGACAAAGTTAGGGGGTGGATGCTGCCAGGCTCCCACTGTTCCTGCACCCTCCCCACTCCCCCTGCTTGCCCTCACCCAGGGCTGGCTGTGATGCATTGCTTCATGCACAGTGGGGTTCTGGGGGTGCTCTCCAGCCTCCCCCACCCCATTCCTCCTGGGTACTTACTCTCCTTGATGCCAAAGCAGCTGGCCCACTCCTCCAGGGCGATGTACTTGTCGTTGTCCAGGTCGCAGGCCTCGAAGAAGCGAGTGGTGCAGTGCTCCATGGGGATCAGGGGGGCACGCAGCGGGGCCAGCTCCGTGTGGGACAGGTACCTGCCAGGGCCACCACACCCTCACGGCACGGAAGGTGCTGGCCCCAGCTCTCTGCTCTGGCTGCTGTCCCTGTGCCCTCCCAGGATCAGCCACTGAGTGTCACCAGGGTCAAGGGCTGGGCACAAAATAGCCACCAGCTGGGGGTCCCTGCCAGCTGCCCCCACCCCACAGGCCTGCGTGTGTGATCACTCCCATGCCCCTCTGCAGCCCACAGCTAAGCCAGCAGCTGCTATCTCAGCTGCTGCAGTTATCTCAGGGCCTTTGGACTAAGATATTTTAGGGGACTGTCATAGAACAGTAAATCTGAGAAGAGAGAAACTCCACACGCAAGGGAGGTGGGAGCAGCTGGGGCTGGGGGAGGTCCCTCTTGCAGGAGGCAAAGGTTCTTCTACCCCAGCCTGGTTTGCCACAACCTCTGCCACCAGCCACCCACTTGTGTCACATCTCCAGCCTGCCTTGACACCTTCTGCTGCCAAATCACCCTGCTCCTCAGGCAGGAGATGGTTCTGGGGTCCTCATCCTGCTCTGCTGGCACTCACCCATCAATGGGGTGCTGGTCCAGCTGCCCAAACTGCCAGTGCACAGGGAAGATGTACATGTTGTAGTTCTTCTCAAAGTCCCTGGCCAGGAGCTCCACGGTGTGGTCACCGGCCTCCAGGCGCTTCTCGTTCTCGTGGATCTTCTTCACCTGCCGTGGGAGAGGTGGGGAGGCCTTGTCAGCAGGGAAATGGGGGCCAAGGCTTGATCCCACAGGTCATTTGGATGTGCTGGCCTCCACGGTGGGGGTGAGCCCCCAGACCCTCGCCCTGTGCCCACCTTGAGCTTCTGCTTCTCGGTCAGCAGGTTGTTGTCCTCGTCGCGCTCGTACAGCGTGATCAGCACGTTCTTGAGCCAGTCCCGCATGCGTAGGGGGAACTCGGTCAGCTCCGTGTCCAGGCAGGCAGGGATGACTGCAAGTCACACACGGGGCTCAGTGCAGCATCTGCACATGCAGCTCCACGCCCTGCACACAGCCCCGGTGCCCTCCCACCTCAGCCCTGAGCTTGCCACCACCTTTGCTCCCCGCTGGGCTGTGCCCAGTTAGGGGTGCCTTTGTCTGAGGGAGTGGCTCCACTTACATTTGCAAGGCCCAATGTAGTCCAGGTGCAGCTTGTGTCCCTTCTTGGTTCCCTCCAAGGTGCACTTGGTGGCAAAGAAGTGGCAGGAGGAGTCGTAGGTCTTGTTGTCAGTGCCACAGACCTGCACAGGAAGGGGAGATGCTGCGTGAGAGGCAGGGAGAGCTTCCAGATGAGATGTTTAACTTGTTCCTGGGGACACCAGATGGGGACCAGCCACCCTGACTCTGTCTCCACGTGTCACCATCTCTGGCAGAGCCTGTGTGGGTCCCTCCCTGCCCTGGGCACTGAGCAGACCCTGCCCTCACCTTCTCGAAGACGCCGGCGCTGGCGGGGCAGCTGGAGGGGTCCTGGCACACACACATGGGAGAGTTGTTGTCATCCACCTCACACACCTTGCCGTGCTTGCAGTGGTGGTTCTGGCAGGGGTCTGCAGCAGGAGGGGAGCAAAGTTAGAGGCAGCCACATCCTCACCTCCCACGAGATGCTCAGGGCACCTCAGCGCAGAGGGAAGACTGAGACTTCACCAAGGACACCTCCCACGTGTGTTCTAACACCGGGAAGATGGGAAGGGTTCCAGAAGTCCATGTAAGCCCTGAGGTTAATCCTGGACTCCTTTCTGTAGCCACACTAGTGGCTTTTCTGTTGCAAAGACGGGCTTACAGAGAGCTGGAAAAAGCCACGTGCCTCTTGCTTTGAATGTGCATCCAGACTGGCATTGTCCTTGTGCTACAGCCCTTCCCAAAGGAGCCCCTCACTGTTTGGGGTGGCTAAAGCTGCCTCACACAGGGAGGGAACAGTGTCCCTGCCAGCTGGAGGGCAGGTGAAGTGACTTACTCTCTGCAACAATCTCCTCTACATCCTCGGTGGGTTCCTCGAACTCTCCCACCTCCACCTGGACAGGGTTAGCCCCCACGGGCTCCTGCAAGAGAGATTGGTGTTTCTGCTAGGGGTGCACAGCTCCTGGGGGGCAGAGCAGCCCCCCATGGCTCCCCAGAGCTTTGTTTGGAGATGCTCTTTGCAGAGCAGTGGGTGCTGAGGGGATGGGTGAGGAGGAGGAGGGACAGAACCACCTACCTCTGTGGTGGGATCCTCGATGACCTCTGTCTCATCGGGCAGAGCCTCCTGCTGCAGAGGAAAATGCACATGAGTATGGGTTCAAGGGGGGTGACCCAGCCTCAAATTGTCCCTCATTCCTCAGTACTTTAATTTTTATAAAAGCAAATCCCCTTGGCTGCTCCAGAGGGACAACCCCAACAGCTCTGCTGTCTCCTGCACTTACCGGCGCTGCCAGGGCTTTGCCTGCCAGGCAGAGAAGGAAAAAAATCCAGGCCCTCATCTTTCAGCAGACCTTGAATAAAGCAGAGGAAAAGGAGGGATGAGGAAGGAGGCCCCTGGGTGCTGCTGGGCTCCAGGCTGAGCAGACACTTCGAGGAAGGCGCTCTCGCCATTTCCTGCCTCGTCTGTTCGGTGTTACAGACCCACATGCTGGCTTTTCTAGCCAAAACCTTGGGCCAAATCATGTTTCCAAGATAAATTCGTTTGATTTTGCAAAATGAGACAGTGGGGTTTACATGTCTGTTGCTCTCCTGGATGCCTTTAGGAAAATCACAGTCAAAATGGCTCTTTCCTTCTCTGGAGGGTTTTTTTTTTCACCAATCCCCCCACATTTTTCATGTTAAAAAATCCAGTGATATGAGTGCCAGGTACAAGGAATGAAACTCTATCATCTTAGTTGCCAATCAGAATAAACATAGAAGTGGATGAAGGAAAGAGATAACAGAGACACAATGAGACAGAGCACTTGAGAGTTAAATCCTTTAGAAAACCCCTTCCCCCATGGACACAGACACCCCTAGGGGTATCAGAGACCAGTCCCTCATCCCCAACACCCCAAAATATTGGTGTGTCTATTGTTTATACCTTTTCTGCTCAGACCTAGGGGTATCAGAGACCAGTCCCTCATCCCCAACACCCCAAGATGCTGGTGTGTCTATTGTTTTCCCCTTTCCTGCTCAGACCCGCGGGTCCCCAGACTGGGTTTGAGGGATCCAAGGCACTTTGGGGTTGTCTCCAGAAGGACGAGCCCTTTGCACCCCCCCAGTCTGAGCTGCTGCAGAGCCCCTGCAGGAGAGGTACCAGCTGCTGTGAGAGCCAGCAGAGCGCAGCTGGTGACATCCCCGTGTCCTTGTCCCCCCCGGTTCCTGTTTGGCAGGGCTCAGTGCTCTGTGTGCGGGCAGAGGGAGCTCAGCTGCCCGCTTGGTATGCGGCTGGCATCGCTGCTGGAACATCCTCTGTGCCCTCCATCCTGCCAGCCAGGGGACCTGTGCCCCTGCCAAGCCTCCCCTTCCGCCTGCTCTCCTCCCCTCCACCTGCACACAGCCCGCCCTGGGGCCAGCCGCGGGGCTGATCATGATTATTGCTGGCACAGAAAGCCTCGGGTGAAGTTTCTCCTTCTCCCCCAGGGTATCCAATGTCACTGCAGCCTTTTCCTGCTCCTTCACAGCAGCTCTCTGGGTGTAAAGCCACCCCAAAGCTGTGCTGCCAGGGCACCAACCTGGCTGGGCTCTGATTTAGAGAGGTTTGGACACTCAGAAAATCCTTCTTCCAATCTCAGGAGCTCACCCAGCCTCTAGTGGGGTGTGTGTGCAAAATAGGGGTCAGGGAATGGAGGGAAGCTTTTTTGGGATGTGTCTGTGTAAAATAGGGGTCAGGGAATGGAGGGCAAGTTTTTTGGGATGTCAGAGGACTGGGAGGTGGTGATGGGGATGTCTGCTGTGGTGGCATGAAAGGCAGGGGTGATGAGCTCTTTGGGGCCATGGGCAGCGGTGATGAGCTCTTTGGGGCCATGGGCAGGGGTGATGAGCTCTTTGGCTCTGTTGAGGCTGCAGCTGAGCAGCTCCCTCCTCTCCTGCTTGGTGTGATCTGTCCTTTCCCTTTGTCTTGGTTTGTTCTGGAGGTTTCTGTGAGCTCTGCCAGCATTTGCCAGCAGAGATCACTGGTTCTTTTTTACTGCAAGGGTTCTTTGATGAGAGAGGTGGAAAAGTACAGGTGATTCTGGCCATCTCCTCCTTGCTGGTATCCCCTGGCTAGAAAAGGCTCCTCCTGGGCTTGCTTGCTTTGGAAGGTGCTCTGAGGTTCAGTGGTGCCCAGCCTGGAGGAGAGGGCAGTGCATGCACATGTGGAAGGTGGCACTAAGAAGAACCCAACCCCACGCCAAGGCCATCTTAGATCATTTCCCCAAGCTTTAAAAAAGCCTTGAATTTCAAAGTCTGGGCATGCAGTCAGTGGGGTCATGGAATTAGGTGTTTGCTAGGAGCCAGCAGACAGCTGGAGCTGACAGTGTTGTGTTTGGAGGAAGAAAAAGTCTGAGCAAACAACCTCTGCAGAACTGTCTTGTGCCTTAGATGGTAAAACAGATTTATAATAAAATCACAACTTTTTGGAGGCAAGGCTGTACAGTGAGGACATTACAGAGCCTGTGGGCCCCTGGCTGGGTTGGAAATGGTCATTCCTGAGTGCCTGGTGGCCAAAAGTCCTGAAATAACAGCTCAGGAGCCCTGCACATGGGATTGCTCTAGCAGGATAACATAGTCCGTGGTGCAAGTCTCCCTCCTTGTGGAGCAACCACGATCCTGCTATCCAAGAGGAGGCTCTTCGGAGCTCAGCATCCATCCCCCAGCTGACCTGGGAGGATCCCTGAGGGGCTCTGCACTGGGAATGCCTGGTGCTGTTTTGTGAGCCCCATGGAGGGCACAGGGCAGCAAGGGGGGGGTGCAGCCATGGGGTCATTTTGGACAGAAGAAAAGAGGGAAAAAGAAGATTTCAGCAAGCAGGCACTTAGGCCCTTCTGCATCCTGAAGGAATCAACAGACATCAGCACTTTGCAGGATGCTGGAAACCAGCACAGAAAAGGCTGCTGAATATAGAATAGGAGAAGTTCCATGGTCACCACCCTCTCCTCAGGCTTGCCCTCCTGAATGCTGTGGATTGAGCTGACAGCAGGGCATCATGGGCTGCAGGACCCATGGGCTGTGCAGATTTTTCGATACCTGATCCCACTTACATCCTACATGGGGACTTCAGCTCCCAGTCACTCTTTAAACAGAGTCTGGGGGCTCCCCCAAACTCCTCCCAGTGGCTCACCTCTCCAGCATGGCCCTCAGCACCAGCTGCTCATTGCATTTCACAGCCATACCCCAGAGAAGAAAACCATGGGGTGTAGAGAGGGCAGAGCCTGACCCTCAGCACCTCCATAAGCCCCAAGCCAGCTGTTCAGGGAATCTTTACCACGCTCCCCGCCAAGCTTGTGGCACCACCATCAGCTCCTCCTGACAGGGAACATACCCTGCAGTGATGCACAGAGAGTCTGCACCACTGGGTCTTTCCTGGGGCCTCTGTGGAGGACACTGATGGGGCGGGTGCAGCCTCCAGGAGAGGCTCCATGGATGGTGGAGCTGGTCCATGTGGCGCTGGCCCTGGCCAGGGTTGCGTAAGCCCTTTGGGATGCCACGTTAGCGTGGGGAGGAGTCTCTCCCTGGCCCTTGGGCAGCTCCTCCTCAAGCCCTGCTACCCCGGGCCAGGGCTCTGCTGCCTCCTCCCACTGCAGCCACGGAGGCAGGAATGGGGGCACAGCCCTGCCTGCACCCCAGCCCGCCAGCAGGGTCTCCTGCACCACCCTCCCTCTGCTCACTGCCTCTCCAAGGCTCTGGAGGATCTGATATTCCCCCACCTCACACTGAGTGTGAAGGCAAAGCTGGTCCAGAAAAAGATTCTGCCAAACCCGACTGGGGCCACAGTGCTCAAGGTGCAGGTGGGTGATCAAGTGTGACCCCAGAGACACGGCACCAAGGCTGTGTCCCCAATCCTGCCCTGCCCTTCCTGTGCAGGCAAGACCCTCTGAGCTTTGCTCAGCAGCCACTCCCAGGCTGAAATTCCATTTGAAGCAGGAGATGTTTGTGTGAGTTCCCGTGAAGCTCCCTGCTGAACACGTCCCTGCACGTTCGGTGCTGGCTCACCCAGATGTGCTGCAGCTGCCTGGGGAGCAGGGCAGGGACGGGGCAGAGGCCAGCCTGGCTCCTGCCACCTGCACAGACCCCTCTGACACACTCAGAGAGCCATGCAAGGCTTAGATGGAAGTGAAATTCCCTTTAGCTCACACTTTGAGTAAAACAAAAGGGAAGGGAAAAAAATCCCCCAACCCCATGTGCTCGTGTAGAGTCACTGAAGACACCACAGCACTGTGTGAGCCCATTCCCTGTGCTGGGAGCTCTGTGTGAGCCCAGAAATGCTCAGATCTCACAGGGCTTGTTGATACAACAGCAAGAGCCCAGCCCCATCACAGCTGTGTGCTGGAGCTGCCATAGTATCTCCAGGTTACAGATTGAATCCCTAATGGAAAACAATTAAATTAGTACCAAGCAAAGAGCCTGGATGTGCTGTGGGCTGCAGGCAGCCGCTCATGGATGAGCCCTGTGCAGACAGGCGAGGCAGAATTTTGCTGTCCTGCCTGAGCTGAGCTTTTCCTTTTGTGTGGGCTGGACCTAAGGCTGGACCTAAGGCAGTGTCCAAAGCAGCCTGGATGCTTTGTGCCAGGTGCTGGAGGTCCCTCCGGCCCCGGGGGTGCCACCAGCTGATCCCACAGAGCTCCACAAAGGAGAATTTATTATATTCTCCACAAAGAGAATAAACGGTCCGATAAATATTCTGCAAAAAATGCAAACCATCTCCAAAGCACTCCCTGGACCTGCCCTGCCACAAGCGCTCCAGCGATAACAGCCCCGACATCCCTCGGACCAGAGGACCCAAAGGTTTCCATGGGAGCCGACATTCCTCTGGGGCTGAGTCATGGAAGAACGGGGTGTTGTGGAAGGAAGGGCTTGAAAAAAAGTTCGAAAAGTTTATTTCTGCTCTTCCCCCTCCCAACAGCGCCCGCACCCCTGCTCCTGCCGATGTGGCAGACAATGGCTTGGCTTTAGTTGCTGTGCTGGATGCCACAGCTTTTATTTTCTGATCAAAACTCGCCTGGCCGACCCTAACAAACGGCTGCAATTAATTTCTGTCCTTTTGGAGGGATGCTTTTTGGGCTGTTTCGAGTTGGTCCCCTCTGGGGACTCGGGAGCACAGGTGACATTGCCGGTACCCCCCGTTTCACTCCAACTTTAAACTTCTGCCATTCGGTTTGGGTGGGAATTCAGCCTCCAACCGGTTAAATTTTCCTTTTTTTGGCTGGATGCTTTCTCAGAGAAGGGACACAAAGAGCAGAGACTGTCACGTCAGCGGGCCGGGAAGGACAGAGGCTGCCTTTAAAGGAAACGAGCCCTCTCTCTTCTGTGTGGAACTAAAATTGTGCCCGATGGAACCCAAGTTCTTAAAACTTAAAAAAACTTCCCAAAAGAGTTTTGCTCCTCCTCTCCTGCAATCTCCGTCCCCCTAACAGTCGATCAGCCCGAGTTTGGCAAGCCAGGGCAGCAGACTTGAAAGGCTTTCAGAGTTTGCTGGGAACAAAAAGCCGAGTGTCTTTTTTTTTTTTTTTTTTTTTCCCAACGAAGAAATAAGACCGGCTGCACTGAGAAAAATAAACCCGCTGACATGAAGCCAGCAGCTCTTTTGTTCTTCCTCGGGATACTCTGGTGAGTAAAACATCACCCTCCAACACACCTCAGGCTGGGAGAAGTGGGGACTGTTCGCGACTACATCTGATTTTTCTGCAGGTTGGTTTGATGTGCCCACACCTTGGTGTCATGGATCTCACTAAAGAACTACCCACCAGCTGAAAACACAGAGGGGAAAAGGGAGGAGAGAGAAGAATGAGGGCAAATCAAACCTTTACAGTCAGGTGCCACCAAAGCATTAAAGCTCTGGCAGCGAAATCGAATAAGAGACAGTTTAGAAGGGGAAATGTTGCGAAGAGGAGAAGGGGATGAAGTCAGGAGGGGTCTCTAAATGCACCGCGTCCAGCTCCCCATCCCGAGTGACGCCCTGCCAGCACTGGATGGGGACAGGGCAGGGACAGCGGGACCCCCACGGGACCCCCGTGCCGGGAGGGAAAGCGCAGCAAAGGCAATCGCGGGGCTCGGGCCATACCTCGCAGTCCCGGCAGCACGGCTGAGGGAACTTCAGGCGCTCGGACAGGCTGGAGGAATCTGCAAGTTTTAGAAGGAGGCAGGAGGGAGGCAAAGGGTGGGCTGGGTTTCCCTCTGCCTCTCCCCCTCCTCCTCCTCTCTGGCTTTCCAAATCGGTCTCTTCCTCTCCTCCGCTTCCCAGTGGGCAGTCCCTGAGCCTGGCTCCAAAGGATAGACCAGAGGAATCAAGCTGAAAATCAAAGGGTCCCTGTCGGGGACAGAGCAGTCCCCAGCAGTCACTGTCACAGCACTGCCTGCGCTGAGTTTTCAGTTCTCTGTCTCTCTCGGACTGACAGCACACGGGGATGGGGAGATGCCATCTCTCTGCCTGGTTCCGCACCTCCTAACACCTCGACTGCTGCAATTATAATGCTAAATGCTGTCATTTCTCAGTCCCTGAGCTGGTGTTTCCCATCCTCAGGGGGATGCAGAGAAAAACAGTTTTTGCTTCTTCGTCCTGTCTCCTGACATTGCTGCTATCTGTGACTGCCTTGTAGAGAGGGAGAGGAAAGAATGACCCAGAGAATGTGGAGGGTAGATAATTTCATATCTGAAATGCTATAAGTAGGCAGAGCAATGCTGGGCTGGTAGATGTGACTCTCAGCACAATGATCTCTCTGTTATGGTTATCATCCAGCAGATCTGGACTGACTGAACAAAACCCACAGCCAGAATTGCCACTCATCTGAATTTGGTGGTCTCTTCAGACATCACTCACTATTTACAGATCATAACTCAGCTGGAGCAGCTGCCCAGCCAGAGGCAGCCAAGCAGCAAAGCTGTTTGGGGTTGAGTTTTCCCATCTGTTCCTCTCTTTGCCCAGGGTGAAAACCCAGCTCCTTTCCCCTTGCTTCTCTCCATGGCTGAGAGGATCTGAGGTGCATCTGCTCCCCCAGCACCAGCATGGCCTTGGCACTGCACTGCAAAGGAGAACCAGTAGCCAAAAATTGCTACAGTTTGGGCATCCACAAAGAATATCTCTGTGCCATGTCCTGAGCCCTGTGGATAATCCAGCTCTTTGCATCTTGTGATCTCCCTGTGGCTGCTCTCCAGGGCAATGGAAAGATGATGTCTCGTGTAGCCAGCAGGATTGCGGACATCTGGGCACCAGCAGTGAGATTGTGGATGCTGGGTGAAGGACACTGAGATCACAGCAAAATTCAACATCGTGTTTTGTCTCGGCTGCCTTTGGTATGGGCTCATTCTTGATTATGTGCTATCTTTGAGAGGGCTGAGACATGGACCTGGGTGCTGAGCTCTTCCCACTGATGCTGCTGAGGATTTAGATGTCAGCACAGGGACTGGGCTGTGATGACCTGCCAGGCTGTGCTGGCTCCTTGCTCTGTGGATGCCTTTGTGTCATGGCTCTGTATCAGCTCACTCCTCACCCGGCCTCGCAGCACTTCTGCTGCATGTGGGAGGTCAGATGTAAGACTAAACATCCCATGGCCAACAGGGAAAAAATATAAACAGGACAGAAAGGGAAGGCAGAGGGGAAAGAATGGAGGAGGGGTTAATGAGAACCCATCATCACTTCCCAGTGAACAGGAAATCTCTGTGATCAGGCAGCTCAGGAGGCTGGTGTCAAAGAACAAGAGAAGAAAATCTTCTTCACCCATTTCTTCACTTGGCTGCACACTTCCAAAAGCCATCCCTGGCTGCTGATATGTGGATGTTGATACCACTCACAGAGACATTAATAAATATTCCATGTGACACTCCCAGCTCCCTGTGGAGGCTGGATTTGTGATGGTGTCTGAGACTCCATGGCTCCTTCTAATGCAATTGACTGGAGCACCTTGTCCTGCCACCACAAGTGTCTGTAGATCCCAGGTGTCACTTGTAGGTCCAGTTTGGCTCCAAGAGGTCACACATCCCCTAAACCAAAGTTTAATTTGCTTGAGTTATAACCCAAGGAGCTGGACACAGCTGTTGAATGCTCTCTGCAGTGGATTAGTCACGGCTCGCATTGAAATTGTGCCGCTGCTGGTTCTTCTCCTAAGGAAAAAAAAAAAAAAAAGACATCTGGAAAAAATTTTAGAGAGGGAGGAAAAAAAAAGGAGAGAAAAGAAACCACGACTTTTCTAACTGACAACGTGGCAACTGCTCTGCACTGCAGCCTGAAGTTGAGCCCTCGGCTAAGGGCTTAAACAAATGATAGCGCCACGGAGATAATTATAGCAGGGGTTTCTTTGTGGATGTGGTGGCTTAGACCCTGGGTCTGAGTGAGAGCAAAAAGCAATGGTGCACTCTCATCTGGAAAATCTGGAAATGGCCCCCAAGCTCATCCAGCGAGCCCAGGAGGGTGGGAGTGAGGGGGGCTCATGGTGCACAGGGTGGGGACAGCCAGGTCTGTGCCTTGGGAAGGACACAGTGCCAGGCATCAGCAGTGGGATGGAGGGGATCACAAAGAGCCTGGAGCAACAGCCTGGCTCTTTAAAGTCATCAGCTTTAAAGAGCTCCAGAAATGACTGAGAGCTTGCAAAGGAAGTCCTGGAAAGTCCTTTCCACTCTTGTAAGGCTTAGTGGGGTCAGCAAAGAGGAGATTTTGCTGTCAGGCTGCCAGGAGGGAACCTGGACCTCACACATATTTAGAAAGCTGTCTTATGCCATCTGGGGCACTGGATGGGCAGGAGATTGCCCAAGGGGCCTCCTCAGCCCCAGGAACCCTGGCAGGGCTGCAGCAGGTCCAGCTCAGGCTCCTGACTTGTGCCAGTGAAATTTGGGCACAGCAGATGAACCCCAGGGCTCTTGGTGCTTGCTCCCAGCTCAAGTGACTGCCCAAACTCTGATGGAAACAGCGAACAGGGCAAGACCCTTTGGGGCCTGAGCTCATTTTACAGCAAAGCCAAGAGGTCTGGAGGGGTGAGGTTTGAACTGCAGCTAACCCCAGATGAAAATCCAAATTTCTTCATCCTGATTTGAGCCAGGCTGGGCAGATCTGGGCTGGTGCTTTCCAAGAGGGGAACAATTCTGCTGTAAGAGATGGAGAAAAAGGCAAGTGAGCAGCTCTGTAGGAGTGATACAAGTGTAGATTAATAATCCTGCTGTCACAGATCTGTCAGTGTGAGGAGCCTTTCCTTCCCTCTGCTCTGGGAGGGATTCTCTAATGAGTTTTTCTCTAAAGGATGTGCATTAATTTCTGGTGGATGCTGCTGCAAAACAATGAACGCAAAGTGCATATAAATAAACAGGATGCCCTGGAACCACAGTGGGAATGTAATTTGCTGTCTTCCTCCCTGGCTGTGTGGCTGAAGGCTGAGCTCCTCACAGGTGCAGGGCAGCGTGGGGGAAGTCAATGGCTGCAGGGGTGGGAGCACCCAGCTCAGGAAAAGTTGAGAGTAAATGCAGAGCAGAGAGGAATCTGCTTATCCCAGGAATTTCCCATCTCTCCTGCTCTCTGCGAGTGTGTCAGCTGGAGAGTTTCTGGTTTTTTCCATTTCAGAAGCAGACCAGAGGCAGAAAGGCTGTGCTCCCTGGGCTTGCACTAAGCAGATGCAGGGCACTGGAAGCAGCATCTGCACAGGGCAGGAAGAACCCAAATGCACTTGGAACATGCCTGAAAGTGGCTGTGTTTGTCCCTGTGTTTGTGGGGCAAGGAATTCTTCCCAGTGGGATGGGACTCTGTCCCTCAGCTGAGCTGTGGGGCTGCTGCCTGGTTCAGATGGAGCAGATGGACACTCAGTCTCTTGGATGCCTGACTGGGTGCTGGTCAGAAGCTGATGGAGAAGGAGGAGTGGATTGCAGATTCTCAGCTGTGATCCAGCAGGGCAGGGGATGGAGAGGCAGCTGTGCATGGCTCTGCAGTGACTCATGGCCTGGGAGCAGGCTGCAGAGCCAGAAAGCAGGACAGGCTTACTGTGAGATGTCTGGTTCTTTCCATGAGCTGTGGGGACTCTCACAGCTATCCCAGGGCTCTCTGGGGGAAGGCTCTTCCATGCCCCATGGGGAGGTCTCTGCCTCCTTCAAACTCCCCCTATATTATCATCTCACTCACTTGGCCTGGGAGGAGCCTGTCTGTCCTCCCTGAAACCAAACTGAGGCCAAACTGAGCTGTGCTGGAGCTGTGGCTGCATCCACAGTGCTTCAGGTGCCTGAGGTACTTGGGGGCACCCTTGGCTGATCCTGCACCCACCAACCCTGAGAATCCACATTTTTATCTCCATTGCTCTGCCACTTTCTGCTCCAGCTGAGCTCACTTCAGAACAAGCCCTGGCTTGAGCCAGGCTGCTGCATGCAGGAGACTCCATTAACAGGCTGTCCCTCAGAGGAGGCAAAATGGGATTGGTTTTGGCAAAATGCATTTGGGAGGATTGGGTACAGAGGGGAAAGTGTTGGTGCTTGGTTGCCCACTGGGGTTACACCACCATAGCCAGTCACAGGCAGCCCTAGAAGCTGGCAAAGGTGATATTTGGGGAGACAGTGGGAAATATTTTTTGACAAGATTTGGGACAGGATATTTTGTGAGCCTGAGCCACTCCTGTTGTGCAGGAGCCATGTGAAGGGCTGTAGGGTCAGGCAGGCAGGGCTGGTAGGGGCAGTGCTGGGATTTTGGCATCTGACTGTGATTTACAGACATGGCCATGCCAGGCTAACACCAAGTGCAAGCACTGACCTCCACATCATCTCTGCTTGCTGGCTCCTTTCAAATCATCTCCCATGCACCTTTGAACCTCTCTAAGCTCCCCTGTCCAGTGTGGATTTTACTCTGGGAAGTTCAAGTTCCTTAAAGTCTTCTTGCCTTGAGCAATTCAGATCTTTAAGGCCATGTATAGGCCCTTGCAAGCGCCAGTGAGTGCAGGAATCATTCACATCATCTCTGTGGAGCTTGATGGAATTTCACTGACCAGAGAGTAAAGGAAACCCAAGAGGACACAACACCCTCAGGTGGATGAAAATCCAGCGGACATATGTGGGCAGAAAATACCTCTTCTATCAGTGCTTCAGTGTGTGAGCTGTGGGGATCTCAATTTAGCCCTGGAGCTTGTTTACTTCCCTTCAGAAACCACCATCCCCTCTGGCCGGGGTTTGCAGAGCGGGGCTGTGGCAGCAGCAGCTGGGCTGTGGGAGGCCCAGGGCTGAGGCCACACTGTGTCTGTGGGCTTGGG